GCAATGGGGTGACGGGGAGGTTGCAGAGTGATGGGTGATGGGGGGGGTGAAGGGGGGCAATGGGGTGACAATGGGGCAATGGAGGGCAATGGGGTGACAGGGAGGTCGCAGAGTGATGGGTGATGGGGGGGCGATGGGGGGCAATGGGGTGGCAATGGGGCAATGGAGGGCAATGGGGTGACAGGGAGGTCGCAGAGTGATGGGTGATGGGGGGGCGATGGGGGGCAATGGGGTGGCAATGGGGCAATGGAGGGCAATGAGGTGACAGGGAGGTCACAGAGTGATGGGTGATGGGGGGGGTGATGGGGGGCAATGGGGCGATGGGTGATGGGGGGCAATGGGGTGGCAGTGGGGTGATGCGGTTGCAGGGTGTTGGGGGGACGGGGTGATGGGGTGACGGGGTGCCCATGGGGTGCCACCATGCCGGGCGAGGCGCTGCCCAGCCCCATACCTGAGGAGTGTGCGGCCTCAAAGCCCTTCTTCTGCACGGAGCCGTCGGACACGAAGCGCACAAACATGGAGCTGCCGGAGCTCAGCACGGCCGGCGGCGCCACAGAGCCGCAGAAGCGGCCGATGAGTGGAGCTGCGGCGTCCGGGCCGTCGTGCACAGCAACGTGGTCATAACTGCAGTCAGCGTGAGGCTCCACGTCCAGCTCTGAGAACGTCTGAGGGATGGGGGGACGGGGAAAGGGATGGGGATGGGATGTGTGGGATGGGGGGGTTATGGGACGGGATGCAGGATGGGGCAGGGGATGGGATGGGATGAGAGACATGGGGACATGTGGGGTTATGGGGTGGGATGTGGGGACATGGGGTGGGACAGGGGATGGGACATGTGGGAACACATGGGGGGTTATGGGATGGGATGCAGGATGGGACAGAGGATGGGATGGGATGAGAGATGTGGGGACATGCAGGGGTATGGGATGGGACGTGGATGGGACATGTGGGACATGGGGGTATGGGATGGGGCAGGGGATGGGAGATATGGGGATATGGGATGGGATGGGGGAAGGGAAAGGGGATGGGACATGTGGGACATGGGGTGGAACAGGGGATGGGATGGGATGAGAGACATGGGGACATGCAGGGGTATGGGATGGGACGTGGATGGGACATGTGGGATGTGGGGGTATGGGATGGGGCAGGGGATGGGAGATATGGGGACATGGGACGGGACAGGGGAAGGGAGGTGTGAGAACGCATGAGAAAATGGGGTGCGATTGGTGAGGTTATGGGATGGGACACATGGGGACATGCGGCGCCATAGGGTGGAAAACAGGCAGTGCTGTGCAGTGCCACATGGTGCCATGGATGGACACATCTGTGCCATGCAGTGCCATGCAGTGCCACGCAGTGCCATGTAATGCCATGCAGTGCCACGCAGTGCCACGCAGCACCATGCAGTGCCATGTAATGCCATGCAGTGCTGTGCAGCAGCACACAGTGCTGTTCAGTGCCATGTAATGCCACGCAGTGCCACGCAGTGCCATGCAGTGCCATGTAATGCCGCACAGAGCCATGCATTGCCACGCATTGCCACACGGTGCCATGCAGCGCCACGCAGAGCCATGCAGTGCCATGCATTGACACACGGTGCCAAGCATTACCACATGGTGCCATGCAATGCCACGCAGTGCCATGCAGAGCCACGTGGTGCCATGCAATGCCACGCAATGCCACGCAATGCCACGCAATGCCATGCAATGCCACACAATGCCACGCAATGCCACGCAGCACCACGCAGTGCCACACAATGCCACGCAATGCCATGCAGTGCCACGCAATGCCACGCAATGCCATGCAATGCCACACAATGCCATGCAATGCCACACAATGCCACACAATGCCACACAATGCCACGCAATGCCACGCAGCACCATGCAGCACCACGCAATGCCACGCAATGCCATGCAATGCCACGCAGCACCACGCAGTGCCACGCATTGACCCAGGTGCCACCCGGTGCCCCCATACCAGCTGCACGCGGTGCCCCGGCGCGGTGCCGATGCTCCACTCGCACTCCTTCCTGCTGGGGTAGCGGCTCGGCCAGTTGGGGCTGCGGATGGCGCCCAGTGCTGCCGTCACTTTG